TAACAGTTTTGTAAAGAAATTATCAATTGACCAAGAGAGATTGGGTGTTCACAAAATGATGATGAGAATAAATTGCCTTTCATCTGTCCATAATACGACAAATAACGTAATTGATGTTGTGTTGATATCCACATGTACCAGTATGTTGTTTCTGAACTGTGAAGAAAGTTTATGAAAAACCAGAAACAACAGATTTTAAACTCAACTCCCATTCAAGTCATCAGTGATTCAGATGCTCACCGAACATCAGCAATATTTGCTGAAATTACTAAACTGATATTTTTTCACAATTTCTGAATTTTTCATTTCAAGCAAATGGCCCAAGTGTTTTCTGTTACATTTGATGTTTTACACCCAAAATACGACGAATAATTTGAAAATTTTATGACGCTAGTTGCCATTTTGAACAAAAGGTAATTTTGAAACAACTGAACTGCTGATTATGGAATTGACACATATAAGGTGATCTTTAGACTAGAAAACTCCAAACTCATCTTAGAATAATAATTGTCTCAACTCGATACGTAATAATTTAACAAATCAAAGCCTTGCTCATACAATGTATTCTGAACACAGAATCAGAATCAGGCTTGAGTCAGTGTATTTAACAGTGATAACACAAAAGAATTTCTAAGGTAGGAAATTATTAACACTTGTGAATAACCCAGCAACATCTAATCATGAAATCACTTCCCATATGAATTACAGGTACAGTAGCTTATTGCAACCAGAGATCTCCAAACTTGCCAATTCAACTCATAAACTTACCTCTGACATTTCATAAACAAGGAAGAGTGGAATAGTCATGTTCAATACATCATGTTGTGATGCACATTTTAATACATTACGTAGACCAATAATAGTGGGATGTCTGGAAGAGATCTCAGATGACCGGATATTCTCATCAACAACCAGGTGAAAAACTGTGTGAATTTCAGCCAAGCTGGAATGACGAGTGATGTAAAAATCACCTACAAAGAATTGAAAAATAACATAGTTGAACTCTGGTGACCTTGCCCTTTGTTATATAATATAATTCCCTTTATCATAGTTTGATTCAATATAAATATGCATTGTCATAATTAATTTTGAATACAAACAAGTTTTGGGGTTGAACCAACAGTGGGGAATCAGTCTACCGAATGTCCTTAAAAGATGTAAATATCTTACAAAAACATTGGTGCCTTATTTGTTTAATTATTTTAAGGGACATAATTTCCAGCTTTATTCAAAGTAATTCAGATATTTTAGTATAAAAACAAATGTCTCATTGCAAAAAAAAGTGCTGCATTTAGATGTGAATAGATTCATAAAACATGCAAGATAACAGCAAATTTTAGCTGGCTTTAGTCCAAGTATTTTGTACAGGTGTCTGTCAAAATTAATGATTTACTGAGACAAATATGAACTGCCTCATTGTGTGACTACTGTATTATATGAAAAGTAAAAAAAAAACACCCTTTATGAATAGCTATCATGTTGCAAGCTCTGCTTTGTATGCAAATCAACTTAAATAGTTAGTTGCTGTCCAGTGGAGGGAGAAGTCAACAGTACTGTTGCCTCCTGA